ATGGCATAGCCTCAGAAGGAGCCTTCCGCTTTTCAGCCGTGGGTCTGAGGCAGAGGATCCTGAGGCAGTGGAAGGCACGAGAGCCTTATTGAACAGGATCTCTTTTAAACTATGTTCCTGCTCCTTGCGGGCTCTGGTCGTCAGGCTGGCACAGTGGGTGCACTTTTGGGGTAAATGTGCCTCCCCAAGGCAGCAGATACAAGCCGAGTGCCCGTCCGACACCGGCATTGGCTCAGCACTACTAGCACACTTTTTAAAACCGGGGGAGCCCGGCACTTTGAACTCTGAAAGGGCTGAGTGTTAGCGCCTGCTAAGTGCCGCCACTTTTGTTGTGTCCCCGGCTTTCTTTCACTTGTACTTCTTTATTACAAGGCTTTTTCTCTCTTTCTTTTTTTTTTTAAACTAGTGAAGTTAAACATTAATGGTAATGGGGAGAGCAGTGAATGGGGAGACACGTCTCTCCGCGGTTTACTTGTTCGGATTCCTCTAGGTATTATTTCTCTTTTTTTTTTTTTTTTTTTTTTTTTGAGGATTCAGTGGAGTAAAAACAGCAGCTAACAGAAAAACACTAACACTACATAGAAGTAGAACTGCTCGTTCTCGGTTTTAGGTTTCTTTTCCTCTTTTGTCTTTTTTTTTTTTAAACGAGCCTGCAACCCGGGCTAAACGAGGAATGATTTTACTCTAACTTTAAAACTTATTAACTTTCCCCACAGACAACTAACTGAAGGGCAAGGCTTGAGGAGAAAGGGGGAGCTCCAACTGTGACCCAAGGCGGATGAGAAGAACTGGTGGGCGCCGTACCGCGCGCGGCAGATGAAAGGCACGAAACCGGCTTGCACGTGCGCGGTCCAGCCACACACGCACACACACACACAGCTCTGTCAAGCTCCGATTTGCGGCGCCAGGACCAGCCCGACACCAGACGTGGAGCACCCACGGGGATTACCCGAAGAAGTGTATTTGGGCCATTCCTATCTTCAACATCTTTGAAAATCAAAGCTTGTGAAGGGATGAGAATAAAGTTAAAAAGAATATATTAATCTTCCATTTAATGTGCTCGAACAGTTTTCTTTGCATGTTTTTTCCTAAGAATGGTTGGTAAGGGTACTCTATACTTCTCCACCTTGCATTGAATACAGACATTTCCAGTTCATTTTACTTTATGCTGATAAGCAACTTATAATTCAAGAAGTAAACAGCACAACTAAATCCCTAGCTGCCAATGCCATGACATGGAAAAATAAAGCCACCTATCCAAAAGCAGTTCTCTTTCACCATAAGATTCTCACAAGTAGAATATCCTCCAGAGAAATACCATTCCCAATGCACATTAAGTACAAATCACTTGAAGATTTGTTAATGCCATGAAAAAATTACTTTAAATGACAAACCTGTTCTTGCCTTTTCTCACCATCATATGTATGATAAAATGTCCCCAAAAATAAAAGTGTTTTCCTAGCAAAAAAAGATTTAAAAAATTTTAAAGAAAGATTTTTAAAGAAATAATGTGAAAAATATAATCTATCCAGAATCTAATGATTCTGAGATCCAATGCTAAATGGAAATAAAAAAGATCAGGGACATGGAAGACATGAAACTAAGCACTTGTTTCATAAACTAAAGCCTGCCACACCAACACGAGGGCTTACTTCAGGACTAACTGAATTCTGAAATATGAGAACTGCAAAGTACACATCCATATTCTTATAAACGCAACAGCTTCATAAGTTTTAAGAGGATAATGGAAACATGTTACATAAAAATGGCCCCACTCAGAAATTGTCCATGTTGTGCCAATGATGACAAAGACATTATTTCTTCACTACCAGAACGTAACTCAGGAACATGCTTTCCATTGCTCAGACTGACATCTCATTATTTCTCATGATCAACAAAAGAAGTCTGTGTTTTTTCCATCTTTCCACCTAGGACACTTCTGTATCTGGAGTTATCAGACAACGAATACTCCAGGAAAAACAGTTGCCAGTCCAAAAAAGAAAAGAGCCTGAATGTCAGTTAACTTGTAAATCTGATTTTGTAACACAGTTTTTGATTCTGTAATGCTTAAATTTCACCCACACAATTATACTAATGTGTTGATTATCTCAGTTCGCAACTTTTCATTTCTGATTACTGACACCATTGTCTCTCGTCAGGGTTAAATCTGACCAATTCTTCACAAACTATATATCTTTTGCATCTCATCAAGCCTCTAGAGAACCCTAGAAATTCTTATTAGTCAATACAGTTATTAAGAATTTAGGCTTTGTCTACACTGCAGGGTTTTTGCACAAGAAGCTTTTTGCGGAAGAGATCTTCCGTAAATTCATCTTATGGTTTCTAGTTAATATCAATTTTCTAGTTAATATCAATTTTTCCCTGCCAGTGAACAATGACCACTACATATCAGCTCGGCTTCACTGCAACAATGACCACTACATATCAGCTCGGCTTCACTGCTAACACTTTAATTCATGGCCTTCAGAAAGAGGCAAAGACCAAGACCTCATCTCATAACCAGAACTCATACTATTAGTGTTCAGAGGGAATACTTACTGTTAATAGCTGCCTTCTAATGAACAGCAAGGACCAACTCCCTTTACCATATTTCACAGATATCAAGGATTAAGAAAATATAAAAAAATAAAAACAGGTTCCTAACCTAAAGAACAGCCATAGTTATTCTTTCTTCACTGATTACAGACATTTGCCCTGCTTTTGGTGATGAATACTCTTTTGCATTACTGAGTACCTTTCACCTAATTATCTCAGAACTTTATAAATCATATTCTGTCCAGTTCTACCAGCATAATTTCCTTTTTTGCAGGTCTATCTGCACATATATCATACATACTCAGACACACACCTACGCAAATTCTAGAACTGAAGATCTTACATGTAGGAGTAGGGATGTTAGTTGGCTCATTCGACAGTCAATAAGGGCGCCTCCACCTTCACGGCCAACAGCACTGCAGGAAGTACAGGGCCAGCGGGGGACTTAAGCAGTCCCCTGGTGGCCCTGGGCTCCCTGCAGTGTTTCAAAGCAGCAGTGCTGCATGGAGCCGAGAGCTGCATTGTTACAGTACAGATGTACTCTATTCTATTTGAGATTGTCTACACATGAAATTATTCCAGAATAACTATTTGACTTTGATGGTGGATTATAAACAAGCACCTGTTATTCTGGAATAAGTATCCATGCATGAAGATAAGGTGAGTGGGATAACTTTTTATAGGACACATGAAGTTATTTGGGAATAATTATTGTACTTCACTCACTACTTTAATCCAAGTAACTTTTTTGCCCACACAAGCACTTAGATGTTTCAAAACACAATGGTTCTTGTTATTCTCACTCAAAATGTGGTCAACGTATCAGAAAGGCTCTTTGTTTATTCACATCAATAAAGAATAGGATACACATTCAAAAATACGCTTTTTTTTTTAACAAGGCAGCATTTTTAAAGCAATCCTCTCCATCCCCTCACAATTTCTTCAACATGTGGCAGCACACCAGCCACTTTGCATCTTAAGTCCCCTAGTATAATGATACTACACATACTTATCAAATAACCCAACTCTCAGAATTAAAAAGTAAAGAGCAACTGCATACATGCCTGCCTGCATAAATAAGATATAAAAATGTGCATTCTTTCAGGAAACAGTCTGTTTTGCAAGCATAAATCTAGATTGCTGTTTTGATCTTTAAATCAACTTTGCACAGTTGACCTATGCACATTTGATTATCTGACTGCCATTAATCTTCCAGAATTATATGATTCTGCACTGTAACATAGTTAAGCTAGTTGCCAAATAGAAGAAAGGATTTGTAGCTACATTAATTTATTCTTTTAGTACTTAGCACTATTTAGGACTATAATTTGTTGAATGCCTCATTAACTTCTAAATAAGTTATTATTGAACCATACCTGAATAGTACTTGCACTTTATGAATGCCTGACATAGTAACTACTGACAAATGGCCCAAGCATTAAATAGTGATTGATTACTCATAATGAATAATAATGAACAATTGTCTATCTTGAGAACTGTCTGTCCAGGTTCAGTTGAGAGTATATAAAAATTATGTTTAAACCCCACGAAAAGCCGCAGACAATATAAAGAATCATATCCACAGTAAGCCATTCAGTTGTCCATCAACTTGAACCTGAAACACTGACATGAATTATTTTCATATTGAGAAAGCAAGTATATTCTTCTGAAACAAACCAATTAGTAGTCCAAAATGTTAGCAGAAATGAACTAATGAAATGCCACTTGCATCAATCTTATTTTGACTGTATGGAAAGGTCTGGCACAAAATTGCATTTCTACTGCTCTGTTCTCTCTTGTATGGTCAATTAATATATATGCATTTGGTTTTCCAAAAAGAGCCAGAAGAATACTGAATATAATTACATTATGAAAACAGTTTTAAATACAGAACCAACCTCTGAGACAGAGAGAAACAAAAAACAAAAAAACACACACATATATCAATGCAACCTATTTTGTGTGTGTAGTTCCCCTCTAATTTTATAGTTCTTGTAGTGTCAGATTATTCTAAAACTCAATGTAATGAAAATGTCAATATAAAAATCTGAATTTGGAATATTCAGAATTTCAGCATGAGGAGTTCTCAGTTAATTCTACTACTTACATCACATTTTTTTAAATTAGAATGTGTCCTATCTTGGTATACATTAGAAAACGCAAATATTTCAAAATTTTGAAGCAACGAATGACGACTCCTCTTGTGGTGAGTACTGTACGTTGTAATGTTTCTAAATGAAAAAAATCTGAGAATAATAGACTACAGTAATCCATGTCAACTAATAAAATGTACATTTTAAATATTTTATGTTACTATGGCAACAGCCTATAACCGGAACATTCCCTAATTACACAATGAATTGCAGTACTATTTTTTCCATTGAAAATATTTTCTTATACCATGCAAATGTGAGTGCTTTAAATTAAGGAACAGATATATTTACCTTTCATCTTTGTACCAAAGGTAAGCGCCAGTTTTGCAAAAAGATCTGGATTTTCAAATTTATCCTCTCTAACTTTTATCCAAAAACAGTTTTCCAGTATGTCCGGGGGTTCAATCTGAAATAAAAAGCAAAATAATTCATTCTTTAAGTTAATGAATACTAAGACTTCAAATATTCATTTTCAGTCAATGGCTGACTTTCCTATGCAGGATTTGGTTTAAACTTGGTAGATATTTAAAAAAACATTTCAGCTAGTGAAAAAAATGGCCACAATTTTTCAAATGCATGCCTCACTCCTGACGTCTAAGGCCATTTATAGGGACCTGAACAAGGAGCCTGCTTTTCATAGGAGCTAGGTTCCAAATGGGAAATTAAGGCATTAAGCACCTCTGAACTGAATACAGTAATTCCTCATTTAACACGTGCCCGCTTAATACGTTTTCGCAATAGCACGATTTTGTTTAGGGAATGTTTTTTGAATTGCACAATCGTCCCCGGAATAATATGATTTCGCCAGCCGGCCTGTTGCTGGCAGCTGCGCGGGGCTTCGTCCGCCTCCCTGCAAAGCAGCGGAGGGTTCGCTGCTCGTCACTGTGTTCCCCGGCGACTCCCCCTTGCTGGACTCAGTGTGGGTCCCGGCAGACCGGTCAGAGGGGCATACTGCCAACCCAATCCCCCTCTCCTCTTCCCCTCCCCAGAGCCAAACACCTCCCCTTCCTGCTGTAACCCAGTCTCCTTTCTCTCCCAATCATATGTCCCAGTCCCAACAGACACCACCACTTGAAACACAATCCCCACCTTTTCCATTATTTTCAATGGGAAAATTGACCCCGCATAACACGTTTTCACTTAACACGATTATTTTCTGAAACATATCTATAGTGTTATATGAGGAATTACTGTACTCAAAGGCCATGGTCACCAACCCGTCGATTATGATCGACTGGTCAATCGGGAAGGCTCGACCAGTCAAGCAAGAGGCGTTCGAGTCCCCCCAATTCTCCCCACCCCCAAGAAGCCACACTACCTACCTCCAACGACAATGGAGGTAGTGCCAGCTTCCCGCAGGATGGACAGAAGTTCAGAAACTGCGTGCCACTTCCGGGATTTCCGGAAGTGCGCTGCCTGCTCCCCTCCTCCAGGCCTGTGGCCCGCCGGGGACTTGCTGTGCGGGGGGGAAGAGGTAGGAGTCCTGGAAGACGCGCGCTGGAACTTCCCTCCTCTGCGGGGGAGGGAGTAGGTCCTCCTGTCCCGGGGGGAGGCACACGATGGGGCTTCCTTCTTCTGCAGAAGAAGGGGTCGTCCCCCAGGGGGCGCATGCATGGGTTTCCCTGCTCCATGGAAGGGGGGGAGTCGGGACCAGAGGGGGTGAGCAACAGGGGCTTCCCTGCTCTGCGGGGGTTGGTCCTGAAGGGGTGCATACGCGGGCTTCCCTGCTCCGCGGGAGGGGAGGAATCGGGCCCGGAGGAGGCGTGCGACAGGGCTTCCCTCGTCTGGGGGGGGAATCCTGGGAGGAGGCTGGTGCAGGGGACTCTGCTCCCACTGGCACCCTGCCCCCTGGCACAGAACCCTGTCCCCTGACCTTCCCGCACCCTGTTCTCTCTCTCCTGCCCCCAGCCACAGAACCCTGTCTCCACTGGCACCCTGTCCCCTGCTGCAGAAACCTGTCCCCTGCCCTCCTGGCACTCTGTTCCCTCTCCCCTGCCCCCCAGACACAGAAACCTGCCCCCACTGGCATCCTGTCCCCTGCCCCAGCACCCACTAGCACACTTCCCCAATACCATGTCCCCTGCTCCCACTAGCACAGTTGGGGCCACATTAGTGCAGCTTGGGGGTTTTTTGGAGGAGGTTGGTTTGGTGTGTGTGTGTGTGTGTGTGTGTGCTGGTGGTGTTTGGTTTTTTTTTTGGGGGGGGTGTGCATCTCACTTGTGTGGCCCCAACTGAATTTTCTGTGGCTCAGTGACCCCTGACTCAAAACAGGTTCCCCGCCCTTCTCATAAAGGCAACGCAGAAACTTTTTGTGTTTGACACAGTATTTTAATTAAAAATGAAGCCTGGCCAACAAACCCCCAATTGGGGCCAAGACCCCATCTGGCCACAGCATCAGAACACTCCTCCTTCCCCCAGACCTTATATTTGAGCTTATCATGCACTGGAACCCCCTACCCTGAGCCTCTCACATACCCCAACCCAAATTCCTGAACCCTCACATCCTCAAGCCTGTGGCTTGTTTAGTACCCCAACCCTCCATCTGACCCCAATGCTTCCCGGCCTGGAGCCCACTCCCCAAGCCAGCATCCTCTTCTCCACCTCCTCCTGCATCCAGATTTCCTCCCAGAGCTTGCACCTCTCACCTCTTCCCACACCCAAATCCCTCATTCCCACCCCAGAGCCCACACATCCTGTCTCAACCCATCGAGGGTACAGCTAGACTGCGGAGTTTTTCCAGGATTCTGGAGATATCCCAAAAAAACTCTTCTGCATCCAGGGATACGTTTGTTCTTCCGCTTTTTTTAGTGGAAGAGCAAACATGCTCTTTTGGTCACCCCCATATTCCTATTTCCACAAGGAATAAGGGGGCTTACAAAAGAAGGGGTTCTTCTGACATTTGGTCCGGTCTAGACAGGCCAAATGTCGGGAAAACCTCTTCCTACAGAAGAATTGGGAAAAAAGCAGCAGTATAAGGGTTGGGGATAGCAAGTGATGGAGAGGAGGAGAATAGAGAGGGCGAGGCTTCAAGGAAGGGGTGGGGCTTCAAGGAAGGGGCAGGGCAGTAGATCTTGGCTTGTTCTGTTGTTTAAAAAGTGATCTTGGGTGTAAAAAGGTTGGAGACCACTGCTCTAAGGACTTGTCTTCAGAGTGTGACAGCTCACAGCAGTGGGGTGTGACATTCAGCTTAGGCACTGCTGGCAGGAGGGTCCACACCAGCCAGTTTGCGTGAAACTGATGCAAACTAGAATTTACACCCAGCTGGTGTACACTGATACACAGTGAAGACAAGCCCTAGAACACAACGAGACAAAATAAAGCCTTGCCTACACATAAGCTTGCTCAATGATCTTTTAAGGACGGATGTTCTTTATCTTAGGAGCCTCAATATGTATTTTTAAAACTTTATTTCAAGTAAAGTCACCCTTAATGTCTTTTCAACTTGTTTGAATTATTTTCCACACTATAAACAGGATTTTTTTTTAATTCTAACACTTGAAGAAAAAAGTGTAAATAGCACATATTCCAATTTTATTAAGAGGTAAAATCAGAGTGATGCGCCACACAGTTGCTATAAATAATCCACTGCCTTTTGTATGCTTGTTTTTAATGGTTGTAGTAGTTAGAAGGTTAAAGATATGATACATTATCTGTCTGAAAAGTGGTATATTCTTCATATCTTCCCCTCAAAAAATCATCTGCAATCTTATATTGTCTATTCCTAACTGCAAAGGACATAATGATATTTAATTACAGCTTGTTTTTCAGCGTCAGCCATCTCAACAAAATTTATTTTTAACACAGGTCTAATTGTCCACTTACGCATACTTATATAATTTTTTTTCCAAGTGAATTGTCATATCTTCTTCAATGCTAAAACACTGAAAACAAGCTCCCTTCCCCTCCCACTTTCTCTCCAAGAGATTTTGGTGTACCTATCAGTCGTAGATGTTTAATTACATTGGAACTGCTGAAAAATAACCTAAAAACCGGAAAATAGATCCACAGAAATACAGTAAGCTCTCTCAAACAGTGTCACTCTCACTTTGAAGACATCATTGTTAGATGTAAAGAAGGGTAGTCCAGGGTTCATACCATTAAGAGGTTTGCTGTAGGAATAGACAATGGAAGAGCCACAGTTTAAAAAAAATAAAGTCAAATACCTGTAGTATCAAAAATTTACCATTATGCAAGCTAATTCATCAACTCTCCACCCTTGTCCTAAGATTAAAAACAAGCAATGTACAATGATACATGTAAGGAGAAAGAGTGATAGGAATTCCATCCTTGGCACTAGATATTTTAGGTAAATAAAGTTGAAGCCTATTTAAACCACATTTGCCACATGAGAGAAGGGACAAAATGTGATTTAAATAGGACTCCCCCCAAAAAAACAGCCCCCAGGGAAAATTTGTCGAGCAAAACAAAAAAAACAACACCGGGAGGGAGGGTAGAGCAGGGTCTCGGGGCAGGGCATCTGGCCAGGAAGGAGGGTAGAGGCAGGGAGGGTGCAGAAGGAGACTTGGGGCAGGCTGCCAGAGCAAGCTGAGAATGCAGGGTCTTGGCAGGAGGAGGGGAGTGAGGGGGGGTTGGGTGCAGGGTCTGGGCATGAGGGGGAATGCTTACCTGGCATAGCACCCTGCTGCAGCATGGAAAGCCTCCAGGGAGCATGCTCTTGTTCCTTTGGGGATGCAGAGCTCAGTTCCTCTCCCCCCGCCCGCCCCCACTCCCGGGGTCTGGGCATGAAGGGGGATGCTTACCTGGCTTGGCACCCTGCTGCAGCAGGGAAAGCTTTCAGGGAGCATGCTCTTGTTCCTTGGGATGAGAGGGGGGTGGAGAACTCTGTTCCCCTTCCTCTGCACCCCCCGCCCACCCATGCAGCGGGGAACCCAGCGCAGCTGCAGCACCAGGCCAGGCTTCCTGCTGGCAGGGTGGGTGAGGGGAGTAGAAACCCCGACCGTCCCCACCAGATTAAACTCTGCCACTTCCCCGGCAGGCTGGGGAAGGGTGCAGAGGAGGGAGAGCAGCAGCGTCTGGGGGGCAGCAGAGCCCGAGTGTGCTGCAAGCTTGGGGGCAGGGGGCAGCAGAGCCTGAGATGGGTTTTTAAACGCCGAGGTCCGAACAACTCCTCAGCTCCAGCCACCCCTCTCCCTCCCAGCAGCAGCTGTAAAAGCAGCCACCTGCACACATGGAGTAAGAGGAGGCTGTGTAGCAGCGGAGGCCCTGCGGGACAGGGGCCATCCTGCGGGCTGGGGGGCTGGGGAGGGTGGGTACTCGCTGTCTACGGGCTCTGCAGGGGGCAAGGGAGAAGAATTTTTTGTTTTCTCCACGGCACACCTCTGACTGCCACACGGCACTCAGTTTAAGAAACACTGCCTTAAGTGTTCCAACTATTGGGTGAGGGAC